CCCAATCACACACACACACACAGGGTTGTAGAATAAAATGTTCTTTTTTTTCTATTAAAAAAAAAAAAATCGAAATTAGAAAAAACAAATATGGGCATGTAGGGTTTTTCAAACACCACATTCCCATTTGTTTTTGTTTTTGTCCATTAAAAAAATAAAAAAAAATAAAAAATCAACCCTGACGCCCATTTTTTTTTTCCAACGGGAGTCAACGGGATTCAACGGGATTCAACGGGGATTCAACGGGGATTCAACGGGATTCAATGGGATTCAACGGGGATTCAACAAGATTCAACGAGATTCAACAGGATGACAATTTTTTCTTTTCTCCTCGCGCGTCCAGCGACGTGTCCGAGGCCCAATGCGCCCTCCCCGTTGAACAATATTCAACGGGGAGGGCCCGTTGTACTATTCAACGAGGATTCAACGGGGTCCCGGGGCCTATTCAACGGGTACAACGACGTTGAAACTTTTCCGCTATGTAACCGTTTAAACGCGTTTGACACGCGTTCACGTTCAAATGCGTTCAAATGCGTCACGTGTCATACAGTGGGAGAAAACTGAATGCGCGCCCCCCACCTGGGTGAACAGCGATTTCGTCAAAAACGGACATTTTATATTTTTTGAACGAAATTGAAATTGTCATTTTTGAGATAATTCAGGTGCAAAAACCATTACAAAGAGATGTTCGGTGTATGGGATAAGGGGTACGGGGTAAGGTGTAAGGTGTAAGGTGTAAGGGGTAAGGGATAAGGTGTAAGGGGTAAGGTGTACAGGGTAAGGTGTGAGGTGAACGGGGTAAGGTGTAAGGGGTGAGGTGTAAGGGATATGTGGTAAATTGCAAGGGTCAAGTGGCACAACGTATCGAGGAATATTTGACACCTTATATACATTGTTTTTGTCACAAACCATCTCGTGGCATCCACATCCGCCCCCCTCCAAATTGTACTATGGATTATCACATACACACTACTCACGAGCCACTGTATCCAACGCCATTCGACGACGTATCGCGGGTATATCATCAGCGGTGAAAAAGAAAGGTGGAAGTTGGCCCCGTGCCAAATGTGATGCGTACGTGAGCACAAAGACCCCGCAGTCGTTCGTGTCCTGTTGCTTCAGAATGCCCTCTACATTCCATATGTGATTGAATGGTTTCGTGTCCACCTCTTTGCCTTACGATTTCGATCTTTCGAATATAAACTTTGCAAACCCGCCGGTCACTTTTCTCACCAGCTCCATGTCGGGGTCAAGGGAGTCGTAAAATTCGAATTTCCTCCTCCTGAAGTCAGCCACGACAAGGGTCCAGTGGTTCTTGTGTGCAATATGGAAAGGGGCAATTATCAAGTCTATGTCACTTATGATAACGTCTTGACACCAGCGTTCTACCTCTCGGCCTCTATATCTCATTTCATTGTCAAAAAGTTTCACGAACAAAAATGAGCTCAGCACCGATACTCTAGGAATGCGACCCTTTCCTTCTCTAATAACTATCTCATTCTCCGCGTCGCATTCTACGTGTTGTATTCTACACCAGTTGTCCAATGCTATGAGATTAACGTAAAAGTTGATGACGTTGTCGTTTAACCACTGACGTTCTACAACGAGTAAAAGGAAATCGTTGCGAGTGAGTTGCAACACCTCGTTCATGTATATGTCGTGTGTGCTGGCTATGGGATACCTATTCCCGTATTTGCGGATGATACGCGACAAGGTTGTCGTCTCCCTCTTTGATAAAGACGAAGTCGCGAGATGCATTGTCCATCCTCTTTTCCACGATCTTGTATCATTTGTTGTTATTTGCACTGCACACCACAAACATGAGGAAGACGACATTCACGCGGGCGGATGGGGAAAGGATGGTGAGTGCATGGCCAAATGCTTTGTGGGAGCTAATGCATGCAACGCATGTTTTCAATCTTTCTCTAATCTTTTACTTGCATTGACGACATTCACGTATATAATCAATCATTTATTCCTCGCACCTTGGCCACCCTCATTGAATACGTCCGCATACACACATCCAAGTCGGAGAGAGAGAGAGAGAGAGAGAGAGAGAGAGAGAGAGAGAGAGAGAGAGAGA